TTGTATCCTACAGAATGAACACACTTGGAATAGCAGAAAGCTGTCTTCCTCTGAACAAGTAGTCTGTAGAATTAAATATTTTGTAACTACTCATAGTGTGCTCAGTACTATATAGTAAGCATTTTTGCAATTTCTCCCTTTCTCTTGAGTTGCTTATAGGAAAAGAGATGTGGCATAGAGGGACCGGTGAAGGCTCAGTCATTAAGCATCTGCCTTCAGCTCAGGTCATAATCCCAGGGTCCTGAGATCGAGCCCCGCATCAGGCTCCCTGCTCAGTGGGAAGCCTGCTTCTACTTCTCCTACTTCCCCTGCTTGTGTTCCCTCTACGCTGTGTCTCTCTGTGTGTCAAAAAATAAAATATTTAAAAAAAAAAAGAAAAATTGAGAGCTATTTGGAGGAAGATGGTGGTTAAGCATAACTTTCTACTAGACCTATGCAAGCCAGAACCCCTATTCTGTGGATAACGAGAAATTATAAATGCCCTCAGATGTCACTTCCACAGATATTTACTCAGAACCTACTATGTGTAGGGCATTCTACTTAACGTGGTCATGCACAGAGAGATGAATCAGGAATCCCTAGTTGCTTATAGACCATTGGAAGGTAGAGGTAGCTGCAAAATGAAACAGGGTAAGTTGAGGGTCATGAGAATGATACCCATGGCCTGTAGCTTGAAAGGAGAATGAAATTACTCCCTTTAGAGGGATCTGGAATGGCTCTACAGAGGCTATTTTACACATTTGTAGATGTGTGCATTTCCGTTTGGGTGGTGGAAAGTGGCAAGGCAGTTTCTTCCCCGTGCCATAACTCTGTTTAGTATTTGATCCTCCCTTCCTCCCCCTCCTCCCGCCTTTCTCAAGAAAAATATTGCTGTACATTAATTCTTTTAAAGCCTTTAATGGTGTTGCTGAGACAATCATTTAAGCATTTAAAATACATAGCACGTAGTACACTTATTTTAGAGGCAGCAGTGGTTAGCCACTGGAAACTAACCATTGGGTTTGATAAAGGGGGGAATTTTATATGTTATGGCTTATGACAGAGAATGGAAAAATGCTTCAGTGAGACGGGCTGGCATTTTAAATTGGAGCACAATAATGGCAAGAAGTGCTGAAGTCAACAGACTGCTTAGAAATATGGTTATTATTTGCTGAGAGAGGCCTTACAAGGTGGCCATGTACAAGCATTTGCAACCACAGTAAGTTCAGTTCTTCCCCAAACATGGGACTGTGACCCTGATTGACATCAGTGAGAGTTGTATAGTTGCAGAGAAAGGAGATTCAGGTCATCTAAGAAGCCAAGGCAAGGAGGAAATAGGTGTAATAAGCAGCGAATTCTAACAGATTCACACATTATACATAACTTAGGTTGGAAACCAGACAGAGGTGACCGTGATCTGAATCTTCTGGGGCTGGCCCGAAACTTCTCCTTTTACCCCCAAAGCTATTAGAATATGAATTGAGTCTAGTCCACACAACTTGAAGATGGTAGACAAGATAGAATGAGAATATAGAAGACAGTCTTATGAGGTGACATTTGATTTATGACTTGGACAGTATGAAGGAAATGGCCACAAGAGCTGGAGGATGAGAATTCCAAGGGAAAGAATCAGCAAGGAGAAAAGCATCAGAATTGAGTGACCGAATTGCTTTATCTCTCTGGGCCTCAGTGTCATCATTTGTAAAACTGGAGAGTTCAACTAAGTGAGCCCTAAGGAATTTGTCAGCTCCAAAATGCAAAGAAGTAAAGACTTAGCTAACATAGGCAACAGGGTTAAATGTTTGGTTTGTTTGTTTTTTTCCTGGTTTAATTGAGATATAATTGACATATAACATTGTATTAGTTTTTAAGGTGTACAACATAATGCTTTGATGGATGTATTGCAGTGTTTGTTTTTGAAGATGGTAGCCCTGGGGGGTGTTGGAAACATTAGGAACAGGATGGAAACATTGAGAGGAAGAAAATGTTGGCAAGAGAAACATTTTTTTGTCAAATGCAACAAGATTCCAAATTAGTGGAAGGAGATAGTGTTCCGGGGCGCGGGGCGGGGAGGGGGTGGGGGAGCTCTTTCTTCTTTCTGATGTTTCCTGTCTTGTGAGGGGAGCTTAATTACTGTAACGTTGCTGATCACTTTAGTTCTTCTACCTTAAGGGAGGTGGAGTGAGAACACGAAATTGAGCATGTTCTGCTCTTTTCAGGTCTTCCCTTTTGCTTTTGGGCAGCAATCCTGAACTTGGAGAGCTTTTCTCCTTACTTCCCCAGGCCCTAATTCTTTCCTGGGGAGGGTACCCTCTCCTCTGGGAGCTTTGACCTGATCCAGTGTTTCCTGTGACCCTGTGGGTAAATCTTTTGAATTTGGGGATTCAATTTTCAAGTACCTTTGGCTCCCACACTAAATCATATTGTTCAGTTTAGCCTTCATCAGTAATAATGGTGATATTTTGGTATCCCTCTGCCATATCCTCATCTTACTTTTTGGTATGTTCAGAATTTGGATGGGCAAGAAGAGTGCCATTCATTTGGCCCTTTCAGACCCCAAAAGCTAGGATTCAAGGGGAAAGGAATTAGCTTTGGTGAGAAGGGATATTGTCTCCTCTGAATCAGGAAGGAGAAGGCAGTAGTTGTGAAGAACTACAGATACTTGAGCCATGATGGAGTTTCAGAGATTTGAAATCATCTCAGTAAAGTAGGAGGCCAAATAATCAACTGAGAATGAGTCAGCAGGCATGGAACTAGAAAGTTAAAAGAAGAAAAGAGTTAGAACTGCAACTATGGGGAGTGTACTCAAGAATCCACCCAAGAGCAAACTGTTGCCAGTTAGGGTGACAAGGTGATATTAACAGGCTTGGTTGTGGTTGGGGCTCGAAGGCCGCCTTGTTATCTGCCACCAGTCACAAAGCAGTGGTGGAAACTGCTCTGTAGTATATGTTTGAGTCTTAAATTATATTAAATTTCACAAATAAATGAAAGGATCTATTAGGGTTAGACAATGAATGGTTATATTTATATTGTTACACAAGTTAGACAGTTCTTCAGACATGGTGTACACAGCCACTAAGTTAACCCTTGTCTCAGCTGATTCAGATTTTCTTCTTGTCTGTGTGTGTGTATATACTCAGGTTTTTAAAAAAATATTAAGTAAGGTTTTTTAAAGAGCCCAATCAACAAAAGACTGCATATTAGCAGCCCCAAACACCAACAGGATGACGTTTTAACATCCGTTGTTTTTCATTACATAGATATACCCAAGGGCTTTATTGAAGGTTGTTATTCCTTACACGACAAGTTCAATTGCTTTCCTGCAGAAAAGGAAATATTCTGCCTTCTTCCTTTTGCCCATTGATTCTTCTAGAACCAAGGGGAGTGCCAGCTTCTTTATAAAGTAATCTCAAAGTATTCTTTGCATCCCTGATTTCTCTCAATTCCCATTACTTTAAAAAAAGCAGATTGTATATTCCCACATGCAGTTTGGTGAAGGGTGGGAGAATAGGGAGTAAGGAAGGATTTCAGGAGGTGATTGTATTTAAACTGGGTGTGGAGAAAGAACAGAATTTGGCAGGTGGCTGTGGGTGCACTCCAGATATGGCACATGGCTTAGTCCAAAGAGCATGGAGGCCTGGTGTCTGGTCATCTTTAGGGAGCAGAGTGTTGAGCAGGCCCTTTGGCTAGAGGACAAGGATGCAAAGGGTGTATGGTCTCTACGACTGGGAAAGTAGCATGAAGTCAGATTTTTTTACCCCTTAGGGTGGGTAAGATTTTCCTGAGGAAATAGGCTGTGGAGATGTAGAAGGTGAAAATTAAGTAGGTTTGATTTCTGGAATGAGATTCTAGAAGGAAGAGAATTAAGAGTCTAGTAGACAGGCACATAAAATCTGAGGGGAGGTGAGGAGCAGTTAAACAGAATGAAAAGGGAGGGCTCAGTTTTACTTGAAAAGCTGGTGATACTGTTTTGTAGTTGATACAAGAATACCTCCTGATATTTAGAAATACAAAAATTATTTTAAATATATCTACTCTGTCAGAGTTGTTATTCCCCCCCCTTTTTCATTTTTGGTAAAAGAATAAAAAATAAAGAACAGCATACGCTGAAAGAAATCAGGTACACAACAGGGACTGAAATAATTTGTAATAATTTTTCTTCTAGGTGGATTGCTATTATGAAATAAGAATACATTTTGATTCAGAACTTTTATGAAGAACTTGGGCATTTTATTACAACATCTGTTTCTACATTTTAATTTCTTTTTCCTTTTATAGATATACGCATACTTTTTTTTTTCCAAATGAGAAGACTTTTTTTTTTTTGCCACAAGAAGGCTATTATCCAGAATGTTAATGGGTTTTCAGCTATTAAGATGTAATGATATACCTTGAGTATTTAACTATAAATTTGAAAAATCTCCATGAACAATCTCAAAGGAATACTTAGAATGCACTCCTGGTAAATTGGCTCATTTTCCTGTAATTTACTGGAAGTGCTGATATGAGAGCAGTCCTAATGTGAAAAGTACATTAATCCCTGGAGTTACATTTTATGTATTAAATTATTATTCTCAAAGAATAAAACGTATGAGGCCATTTAGCCTTCATTCACATTTGTTACTTAGAATCACAGTAGAGAAACAATCACTTATCTTTGATGCACAAAATTAGAAACGATGCATTTAATATCTTTTAAAACAAGAGGCACAGTGACGCTCTGTTATGCTTTTGCATAACAATTGCTCTTTCCCAAAACAAGGACTGTTCTAGTTAAGAGCACCATTCTTCGGGCTTTGTGGAGGCCCCTTTCGTTCCATTGGTAATTGAAATATTTTTAGAAACCCATAATGCAGCTTTCTTTGATGTCAGTCAGAAAGATTAGTCTGCCTTCTAGCCCTGAGCTTCTACCACATTGGGGGATTATTTAAGGAGGTAGTCAGTTTGCTGAAGCAGTGGTTGTAGGAACACTTAGGGTCTTGTTTGGAATTTTGTCTAATTGTGTTTTTCTTCTTTGCCAGGGGACTGAAAGTTGTGGAACCACAATTTGTGACACCAGGTGTTTTTTTGGTAAGCAGCCATTTATGATTCCGGAAGATTAAGGCAGATAGGAAGCCCCTTCTGAGATTGTAACAAAGCTCTCGAACAACAACCGACACCATGGACATAAAGCTGGACCCTTCCCGGGATGACCTGCCTCTCATGGCCAACACCAGCCACATACTTGTGAAGCACTATGTACTGGATTTAGATGTGGATTTCGAAAGTCAAATCATTGAGGGCACCATAGTGCTTTTCTTTGAGTCTGGGGACAGATTCGAGAAACAGAGTGGTTCCACCAAGGACACCTGCCGATCAGAGTCAAACGAAGCCTGCAGTTTTAGGATGCCTGCACCCTGCCATAGTCCTGTGACAGATACAAGGACCTTCTCATCTAAAACAGGATATAATGATTTTGCAATCTGTGGTAAAGGTGAAAAAGATACTTCTGGTAAAGATGGTAACCATGACAACCAGGAACAGGCTTCTGGGATTTCTAGCTCAAAGTACCGCTGTGACACAGGGAATCATGGGAGTGAGGATTTTTTGCTAGTGTTGGACTGCTGTGATTTATCCGTGTTGAAGGTAGAGGAGGTGGATGTTGCTGCTGTGCCAGGTATTGACAAATTTACAAGGTCTCCCAAGCTCACAGTTGTTTCCGAGGAGCTCAGGAATCAGATTGTACATGAACTTGTCACTCTGCCTGCAGGGCGCTGGCGGGAGCAGTTAGACTATTATGCTGGCTGCAGCCAGGCTCCTGGCTGTGGGGAGCTCCTGTTTGACACTGACACTTGGAGCTTACAGATCAGGAAGACAGGGGCTCAGACAGCTACTGACTTTCCTCATGCCATAAGGATATGGTACAGCACCAAACCCCAGGGGCGATCCGTTACATGGACCTCAGACCAGAGCGGCAGGTAGGTTATCCGGGTGCTCCACAGCCCCCTGCCTGTTAATCTCACACACTGGGAGATGAGCCTTTGCACGGATGCTCTTTGACAGGGGACGGTCTCGGCAAGGATGCTTCTCTCTATTCTGTGGCATTACCCATCTAGCCTCAAATCCCTAGGCCCACAGTGAAGTAGGTGAATTCCCAGGCATGCTCAACTCTCAATAGGATTATTTCCTTAAATCATGATGAAAAGATTACTTTATTTTCAGCCCCTATATTTCACAGTTAGGAGATTGAAAGGCAAGCCTAATGATTAAATCCCGAGCCTAGCTCTCCGTTGGGATCTCTGCTGGCGACCTCAGTGCTATAGATGGGAGTGATACATGTCTCTGAGCAAATCCTTTCTCAAAGTTCCTTCATATTCCCCCCGAGGGAATAAACTGCCACCAAGTTGGGTCAGTCTGAAGCCTGGCCAAGGGCTTCCAAATAAAGCCAGCTCTGCTTTGTGACTTTCTTACTGAACCTGTCTTTTGGCAGCCGTGCCTCTCTGGACTCTGTCACTTATCATATAGTGTGAACCCCCAAACACTGGAAAGGTCTGTTTCTGAGGCGCATGACACAGCCCTGCCGAGACTGCACACTTGCTCCTTTGGCTGCGGTTCTTCCCATTTGACCCCAGGAGACTCCGGGTTTTTAGTGTGGAGAGAAGGGATTGATGAGGTATTGAGGTGTTCAGGCAGCCGTTTGTGCTTTTCTTCTTGCCCTTCCTCCAACAGTTGTTCAGGGTTCTTAGAATTTGAGAATTTTAAAATCAAACTTCATTGATTCCTCATTATTTTACCTGTTTGTGCTAATGTACTGCAGATCAATACAGTAATTATTGCAGAGTTTGGCTGGAGGAAGGCTGATCTCAATGAACTTGTTTTGAGCTCTTTCTTTTAGAGCATGACTCCCTTGACAGAAGCAGTGGTCTTGGGAAATTGCTTAGATCTCTTCCCCAACCCACCCCCAAAAACCTTTTAGATTTTTTTTTTTTTTTTTTTTTTAAGCATCACTTTGACTTTGAGCTCTAATTATCCTTCTCCTCACCTCTAGTCTTACCTCTCTGCTCTGGTCTCCCGCCCCACTGAGAATGAGTTCACCTCTTGTCTTATTTCTGTTGGAGTCTGAGGCAGCCTTTGAGAAATTGCAGGGTTGGTGCAAACTTACACCAGTACAAAAGCATACTGATTTATATATAGAATAACTTATTGGATATTCTTGTGAGACCATGAGGGAAAGAAACAGGTGTTCTTATTGTATCTTTAAAGTTTTTTGAAATTATTAAGGGTAGGGTTCTCAGTAAGATTTAATAAAATATGGCTTCTGAATACTTAATTTAGGAAATCATAGTTTTTAACACTCCCAGATACTTCATTTCTGAATTAGAATAATGGGGAAGAAGAATCTATTGACAGTAGTTGGAAGAAATACTCATTAATGGCTTCAAACATGGCTTTCTTCTCAGTGCTCACTACCCAGAAAGAGATTAGACTTGTGAATTACATTATTACATGTCAGGTGTTGAGTAGGAATGAGTTACAGATAAATGCTGATTTCCATAAAGAAACCGAAGAGGTGCTTGGGCATATCTTTTTCCTGCAAAGATTGACTTGGCAGATTTACTCGTGATGTCTCCTTTTCTGATAATTCAATAAAATGCATGACCATAGCAGGAGTTTAAACTGTATCCTTGGGAGTTCGTGATTATATGTTAGTAAATAAATGGCACATATGCAGCCTTACAAGAATAATAAATTTTGTTTCACAGAAGAAATCCTCAAATGATGTTTTCTCTCCCTTTTGTCTTTTTTGGGGGTAATTTTATTACAATCAAGATAATCATCCATGAATGGCCACCAAATCTTTCTAAACTCCTCCACATGCTTACAAATAAATCTGGGTGTATATTGGTAACTGTTTGGATACTTTAAGGACTTTAAAATGCCTAAGGATCCCAGGTTGCTAGACAGAAAAAATTCCTTAGTGATAGGAGCAGATAATAATCATCAGGGTTACAAAGCCTTATGAATACAATTGTGTGAAAATACATAAAATTTTACAATTGTGTGAAAAGTAAAATTGGGTAGAGCTTATTTTCTCCAAGGCATAGAGTCTATATTTACTGAAACTAACATTTTATCCTTGAGTGGCAGAATACTATCAGCATACCTACATTCTTAGTCCTGGATACAAAATGTTTTATTCTCATTTTACAACTAAGAGAATTGAATAAAGTTACTGAAAGCGCCTTGAAAAAAATCCATGTTTCAGTTGTGAAAGGGAGCTACATTTCTTACTTTTGATCTTTACCATGTCCCTTATTGTATGTAAAGATTTCAGTACATTTAAAAAATATATTAGCTTTCAGTGAATTTCTATTTTTAAGCAGTTATTGGACAGAAACTTAAGAAAATCTCTAAATTGGTACCTTCCCTTTCAAGTTCCGTCAGTGTCTTCTCCCCTTGTCACCCTCACCCTACCCCATGTTGAAAATAAAACTTAAATTATTTAGTTTGATAATATATAAATAAGAGATCAAAGGATTCCAGGATGGAATGCAAATTATGACAAAACAATCAAATTATACTAAAAATGTATGAAGCAACCTCACTGAAGGGGCTTGGGGACAAAGGTGCTGACCTAAGTCTCTTTGGAAATGAGTGGAGTTTGTAAGACTAAAGGCAAAAGGAACTGTGCCTAAATACTGTGCTGTAGTTGATAAAGTTATTTCCTATGGGCGTACCAGTTAACAATTCTAGTACCACTATATGTGTATACTGGAATTGAGCAATTAAGTAAATTAAGTAAATCTGGGAGCCAGGTTTCTCACTGTTGAAGTGGGAGGTTACAGATGAGCAAGAGGAATAGGCTAGAATGATCCCTGTGGTGTAATAGATTAGAATGGGAGATATCACTATAAACTCATGTTTAATGTTTAGTTTAAGATGGATACAGATGGTTGCATATAGAAATAATTATAAATAGTTGTTTTCCAAGGATTAGCATGCACACATAAATTTCCTCGCTTGCCATCTGGGAGGGTCTAGAAGCACAGTGCCTGGGTCTTGGTTTCTAATACCACTCTCCAATAATGAAACCAGGGCTTCTTGGAGGAATGGCTAAGACTGTAGGAAATATACAAGATGAGCCTGGAGCATCTTGTAGTGCCAGAAAATAAGGAAGTGCTCAAACAGCAGCAGTAGTAGCCCACAATTGAGGGTATATGCCCAAGGTCCAAGGAGCCATTGGAAAGAATTCCTAATGACCAAAACTGAGCAACAATATAAAATTGTTTTGGATGATGACCTAAAGTATAAAAGAAATATTCATGAGTTCGCATTAATATAAATAAATATTTGAATAAATAAACAAATAGAGAGTAGACATATCTAAGGTACAGAAGTTGTCCAAGTTATGTAGATACTTCATCCTCAAGGAGGTGGAACATAACTCTGCCCCTTATTAAGTATGGGCTAAGAAATAAGAGTAACTTTACATCGTAGAAACCTGACAAACATGACCTCAGTGAGGAGATCAAGGTTAACATCAAAGTGAGGAGTCATGTTGATAGTGTGTATCCTTGGTATGATGTGATGAAATGACATCTTTGTGATTGTCCTCCCCCAAACCCATAACCCCAATCTAACCAAGAGAAAAATATCAGATAAATCCCAGTTGAGGGACATTCAGCAACATACCTGACCAGTACTCCTCAAAACTCTCAAGGTTGGGGCACCCGGGTGGCTCAGAGGGTTAAACCCTCTGCATTGGGCTCAGGTAGTGATCCCAGAGTTCTCGGATTGAGCACCGCACGGCGTCGGGCTCTCTGCTCACTGGGGAGTCTGCTTCTCTCTCTGCCCCTCCCTTCGCTCATGTGCTCTCTCTCACATAAATAAATAAAATCTTAAAAAAAAAACCTCTCAAGGTCGACATAAACAAAGAAAGTATTAAGAAATGGTCACAGTCAAGAGAAGCCTAAGGAGACATGATGATTAAAAGGAATGTAGTATCCTGGAGCAGAAAAAGGACATTAGGGAGAACCAAGGAAATCTGAATAAAATACAGACTTTAATAATGTATCAATACTGGTTTATCAGTTGTGACAAATATACTAATATAAGATGTTAATAACAGTGCGTATGGGGTAAATGGGAAATCTGTGTATTATCTTTGCACTTAAGAGTAAATCTAACTGAAACAAATAATACATTATATGTTAATTAAAAAATAAATTTAAGCCTGACCAAAAGTAATGTTTATTAAAAAAATAAACTTCAAATCCGAAAGCAGTCACCATCTTTCTACCTTGAAATCTCTTACAAAAGTAAGGACTGCCTTCCCATTTTTATCACGTGGCAGTATTTTCTGGAGAACTGAAAATGTATTTGAAGTTATAAAAGGGTATCTCTTCCAATAATTGTCAGTAATTTCTTTTCCCTCCATTATAATTCTAGTTCTAAAATGAAGTGCCTGATCGTTATAAAAGCTACATTTTCCTACTGGGGCTTAGTCATTGTGGGATTATGGAAGTTCTTGAACTGAAATGTTCTTTCTGGCCTCTGTCATGTAGATACTGGATTACAGGTGACATTTACAAAGGACCACCTAAACAGACACATATATGATAGTCTGATACAACATGCTCCTTGGAAAGCCTGTTTACTTCGTGTAGTGTGATTTTTTCTGCCCTCTAAAAATATTTTGAAGAACTATTTGAGAACAGGAACAGAGTCAAGAATGTATTAAGGGGTTGTTGCTGAGCTAGGAAGAAAGGGGACTTGGTATCTTTTTGGTTCTAGATCTTCAGTATACTTAAAAAAACTTTTAGAAATGGAAATCTTTAATTCAAAATTTATGTACTTTTCTATTCCACTGAATAAAATGTTATTTAAAACCAAAAGCATTCTCTCTGGTAACCCGTTCCCTTTTCCCTTAGGATCATTATAATAGTTGTGGAACTGGCCAAGTGGTCTAGGGAACCTG